CTGAGCAGCTCCCCCCCTCCACACCAAGAAACCCGGACAGCTGGGCAAGCCCCCAGGCAGATCAGACATGAAAAGGTAAGCTGGGTACTTATAAGTGACTTGTCACTTGTCACTTTGCCCAAACAATAACAAAATCAGCTCACGGAGCAAATTGCAGTAGCAGCACTGAATCACCAAGGTACACCTCAAAGCGGACCCAAAGGATAAAAGCTGCACAAGAACATAAATCCTGGGTATAAAACCCAACGTGTGAGCGCCGCCTGAACAAGAGCCAATCGCCACCTTGGGCAGAGCTGGTGAAACGTGCTGAGCTTCCCTTTCCCCTGTGGCATCGCAGGGTTCCACCGGGGAAATAACAGCGCAAGACTCCGGTGTCCGTGGCCGGGTCGCAGTCCCCGCAAGCCCATGGTCGGATGGCAGCCCATGTCAGAGCGTGCTAAATTATGCATGGCAGCTTTGAATTATTTCTTCTTCATTAAGGAAAGTGCGTGCACTAATTCATTGGCAAACAGCCTTTTCCACAGACGGGGAGCCGAGTCCCCCCAGGGAGCAGTGGGGCCAGGGATCAGCCCGGGGCAGCCAGCAGGACACACATGGGGGGACGGTCCTCAACCCCACCCCAGGCACAGCCCCTCAGCTTTGTCACCCGCTACCAGACCCTGTAAGGAGCACAAAGTCTCTTTAATTAACATTTCTCTTAATTAACACACGATTCAAACACAGGCTGTCCATGAAGCTTACGCTTACCCCAGAATTTTTTTTCATGTTTTTTTTCACCCTAAAAAACATTTTGAAAGGAAGAAATCCTGCAAGCAGCTTTATATTGGCCTTTGTATCCCAAACCACTCTGGGGAACAATCAACAAGAAAAATGCCCCAGCTCTAAGGGGGCTCCTGAACACACATTTAAACCAATTACATCCATAAAAAGGGAACCTGTGGGAGTAACAGTGTACAACGTGCAGGTAACCAGCCTGAAGTGAGGGCGCATGCAGAGCCCATGTAGTCGCAGCTCGCGATGGTGATGTGGGAAGCACTTAAAGCATGCCCTGCCTCCGCACAGCTCCACCAACCGCTGGAAATTGAATTATCTGTACCATTCCCACTGCCTCGTGCTGAAAACCTACAACCCTTCCTCTGAAGCCACCAGCGGTGAGGCTAAGAGGTTGGAAGCGCAGCCCTGGTAAGGTCCTCCCGTTCCAGCCCCCCTGTCACCACTGGGATTTGCTTCCCTAGAGACAGGCAGTGACAGGATTAGGGTGAGAGAAATATCCCAAACCAGCAGCTTTGTGTCTGGGCTCCCCCACGTAGCCTCGACAGCTCTGCCAGCACCCCAGCTCTCCAAAGAACAGGGCAGCATGTCCCCGTGGTCGCAGCCCCCTCCTCATGTGGGGTGGGGGGACGGGACAGTCCTTGGGAGCTATGTGGCATGGAGAGGGTTGTAGCTGGATTTTATCCCCTCACTAACAAAAGCATTTAATGAGCCTTGACATATTTCCTAGCAGAATTCCCACTGGATGCCTGGTTCCTCCACGATGCTTACAGGAATAAAACCAACATTTCTGCATGCAGTTACACACTCCACTTTGGGGTGAGTTAGTTTGGATTTTTTTTTCATCTGCCTGACCCTTATGAGTTTAGGATGTTATCTTTAAAGACTGCCTTTGCTATTTTCAAAACCAGTACACGCAAACCCATAAAGGCATCAACAGCGCAAAAGCCAGCCAACTTATTCAAATGTTAAAACTATTCCATTTTATAATGAAGCAATTAAGCGAGAGCAGTGGTTCAGTTTTCTGCAATTCATGTTCAGGCAATTAAAGAAACAGAAATAATCCTCTCCCCCGGACGAGATGCAGTTCACCTCCCGGCACTGCACTCCCACGGAAGCAGGTATCCTTGGGACAGCAAGAGCACTTTATCTCAGCTTCTCTTCTGTGCTGACATGCATGAAATTCCATGGGAAATTAAATTGAAGAAAGAAGAGTCACAATGCACTTTTAATCTGATCTTTAGCTAGAGACATGGAAATGGTCTGGTGGTGACACTGTGCTTCACAATCCCACTTTACTCCTTTACACATGGCTTTCCTCACTTTCATGTGTTAGCCAAGTGGGTTAATGGCCTGAACCTCATTAGCTGCAAACAGCTATTACATCATTGCACAATAGCCTCTTTGCAATCTGCTTCTAATTCAGCAAGGAAATAAGCCAGAAACGAGAGCATCCCCACTGCAAGTGCTGGGAAACCACAGCAGCACATCCAGACAGCGGGGCTCAAGCACTCAAGCGATGCCCGACAGCTGACCTGCGGCCAGCACCACATAGCGAATGAGCCAACCTCAAATTCAAAGTTACAAATGTCGCTTTGGAGCTGTGTTCACTGTAAAATGCAGTAGAAACGTTTTAAGATAGAAGCTTTTTGTTTTATTAGAAAGATCATTACTGGACTAAGGGGAAGCAAGGGGGAGAGAAGAATAAGGATTCCTTTAAACAAAGCCAGCATAGGGCAAGAACAGCAGCCCCAGAAATAGGTGCCCTGCTATTTAAAGCAACTGGTATAACATCACTAGAAAACTAATTTAAATTTTTAACTGAGGAAGTGAAACCAGGGGAAACACCAACATGGTAGAGGGTACCATGCTGTAGCATGCAGGATTGCAGGAACAGCCCATTCTGAAAAGGTAAACAAATTTCTTTCAGATTTGCATCAAAAAAATCCAGTAATCCAAATTCCTTTTCATTTTGTGAAGTTTCTGAAAAAGCGTTTGTGGAAAACCACAATCTTGTGAAAAACACTCTGGCTTCATTTCTGCAACCGTTCTTTCCCCAGCTGCTTTCATGCTGCAAGGAGTTGCTCCCACTAACTTGTTTGTTCCTGTAACACAGACCCCGAGCACCTCCATGCTCCCTGGGTGGGCATGGGGCTGCCCCCAGAGCCAGCAGGATGCTCTGGTGGCACTGCTGGCCCCGCTGCTGGGAAGCGGGAGGAGAGGCCCAAGGAGCATCCCTGCTCCTTGCCACCCAGAGCCCCAGGCTCCCCAACGAGACCTACTGTGCAGCCGTCACCTCGGTCAAAACCACCCCTGCTGCATCCCCAGCTCTAAAAGTACTTTGGGGTGATGCTCAGTCAGGACTTGCATGCCCTCCTTACCTTGGATCCTTCCTGCTGCTTCTCTGTGAAGTCCCTTAATGCTCTCCTGGAAGGCTATAAACTGCACAGAGGGTTTTGCCCCAGTCTCCATTGTTACTGAGCTGTGGAAGAAAAACACACAGAATTAGATGTTTGAAGACCTCCTACAGGAAGGCAATTCCTCCAAAACCTGTATCAACACCCTGCAGCCTCTGCGAGGTGCATGGGTCCTGAGGACGGGGTGACTGCTGCAGCTCCAGCTGCTGAGGCACAACAGGAGATGGAGCAGAGGGCTGCAAATACAGCCAGGGGATCTGGCCGAGAACAACTTGCTATTGCACTCATTGAGGGATAAGGGTTTATTTACAGCACAGATCAGCAAGTGGATCGCAAGCAGTGGATCAATCAAACCCTGCTCCCACCGTGCCCCCCAGCGCCAGTGCAGCCTGAGCACAGGCGCTGCCCACAGAGCCAGAGCTGCCACGGCGCTTGAGGCCAAATCATTTATACTGAAATCACAGCCATCAGGTTTGTTTACTTTGGAGCATAGCTTGTGCACAGCAAGAAAGGATCTTTAAGCAAGATAAATGACCGGTGCCCACTCGCGCTCTCCCCTGCAACTCCTTACAGCTGCACACAAAGGTTTTGTGAGCAACTGTAATCTCAGCTGCTTTTTTTTTTTTTTTTTTTTTTTTTTTTTTAAAGAGAGGAAATTCGCATGCAGTCTTGAAAACGTGACCTACTGCTTAGGCAAAAATAATTAAGGACCAGCAGCGGAGGTCTGCTGCAAAGCCAGCTGCAACCCCAACCCAACAAGGTGCTGGGGGAGTTTCGCCACGAAGATGCTGCAGACCCACCACCACCCCCCCAGGGGACAGCAGCAGCCTCTCCTAGTCTGTGTGGGCATCACCACCTCAGGTTAATTAACAGGGCTGCTAGAACAGAGCCCTAGAAAAGGCTCTATACCCATTTTTAGGAAGAAGTCACATTTGCCATAGCGTATCACAGTACAAAAGCATGCATGAAGCAAGTACCAGAGAGTACCCCATTGCTCTGCAGCATAGCGTCCTGCACCATGACATGGCAAGGGACAGCCGTGCCCCAGCAGGGACATCTCCTTACCCCAGGATGGTCTGCAGCCAGAAAGCAAGACTTCCACAAACCAGCTTTTTCAACCCCAAACGGATAGTCCATTTATAATGTAGTTTTCTACATGTAAGCCCTAAAAAATAAGTCACACCAACGTTCAAACATAATATTTTTATTTGTGGATAAAAATTAAGGCTCACAGTACTTTATCATTTCACAAGCAGAAAAATGTTAAAAATTGAGAATGATGGGGAATGCCCCCAATACAAATTCCTCTAACTGCTGACATGTTTTACTGAAGACTTGAGGTGAACAATTGTACAGGGCAGCTACAGTTATTAGTTGGTAAACTAGGTGCTAAATATATATATAATTTTTATTTTTTTTTTAAGAAATGTGAACAGAGTATTACGTTTCTCTCCACTTCTGGCTGTCCGATACACATGGATTCCATAAAAACACTCAAGAACTGCTGGGATAACACCAACCTTCCTAAGAACAATCCACCACATCTACAATGCATGGTACAGGTGTCAAACAGGGGGAAGAGAGCTAAAGATCACAAATTTCATTTTGATATGACATTTTGATTTTAGTGCAATAATTTATACCTAAAGTTTTCAATAATCAACTTTCTGGCTTCAAAAAAACCCCAGAACCAAAGTATGTTCCTAAAGAGCACAGGAATTACTGTCAAGCTCTGTTTCATTACAGACATGAAAGCAACTCAGGTGATTAAAAGATGGTAAAGGTGTACATCAAACTTCAGTATACACCTAGAATACAGGTATATATCATGCCTGTATTTAAGATGCAACTCGGAGAAGGACTTCCAAGGGTGCAACATGCAGTGAATGGAAGATTTCTGTCTGTATGCTGCAAGTTTGTGGTCCAGAGGTACAACAGTTACTGGAACCCCCAAACCAATGGGCATCACCATCACCACACAAGTTTTCTTGGGAGGTACATCATAACTACAGGAGTATGTACTGCAGATGTATTTACACGGAGACCAACTAAGTGTCCCAGTCAAAACTGAGAAAAGTTTGGGTTTAAGAGGTGCTCTATATTCTTTGCATTACTTTTTAGTAATTCCTATATTCTTTGCATTCATTACTTTTTAATAATTCCTATACTCTTTTCATTACTTTTTAGTAATTCCTTCTGTTTTGCCTATTTGCTGTCAAGCTAAGACAAAGCAGCAGCAGCAAAGAGCAAGCCTACTTACAATAAGCAACAACTGCTATAGCATTAAAAGGCTGAAGGATTTCTGCATCACACCAAAAAGATTCATTTCTTGTCATTGCACCCTTTACATCTGAGACACCATCACAGTAATGACAACTATCCTCAGCTTTTTATGACAAAAAGTTAAAAGGTTCTCTAAGGCCATAATTTCATGGAGGAGCTTTCTTTCGAGATAAGCGACAAAGAAAATTTGTTTTCAACAGAACCCATGCTGTCATAGATTCTGCCGCAGCAAACACTGATTTACAGTGTTTTTGACCAACAGCTCTGACAGGTCACAGTAAGAACATTCGTATTGATAATACTTCACTTACAAAAAGCTCATCCAAAGGGCTCAAAGAGGTTGATGGACATGGGCGAGAATTACTACCCCCATTTTATAAAAGAGGCAACTGAGAGATCACTTAAGATCAGTTTGCCCAGGCTACAGAACCTGCCAGGAGCAGGGCTGCAAGGGGGAAGCAGTTTTCTTGGCCACTGGTCTGGCGTTCTCCTGCACGCCTGTGTCCCTCCCCTAAGGATTTCGAAGAGGCTGTAACACACCACCTCCTTCCCCAAGCAAAAAACCACCACTCAGTGACACAGGCAAAAAGAATAAATTTACACGTTAGCCATTTCCTATAAGCAGAAATTAAACTAAATTTCCATAATGTGTAGGCAGTGAGTGTAAGAACAACAGGAAAATGTGTGCTATCAAAAGAATATAGAACAAACACTTTCAACCATTATTCCAGTTCACAAATCTATGCAAGTGGAAATAGAAGTAGCTACAGCCATTAAATACCCCATGTTATTCAACAGTTTAAAACAAGTATTTCACCCCCATAATACTATGGTAATCTTGCAGCTGAATGAAATGCAACTGCTTAAATTAAAAAAAAAGGATAAGAGGGATGAGCCTGGATACATGATTATGGTTCCACCGGTGGAGGTACCTGGCAGGCACCCAGCAAGCTGCTCAGGTCATAATTTAACTGTTACTTCCACAGACAGCAATTGCAGGACATGCTCAAAATTCTCAGGTGGATGGAAATAGCTTTGCCTCAATACATCAGAAAAGCACAGGTGTTCAAAGTAATCATCTCTCAAATTATTGCTTACTTAACTACATAAAGAGCAGAATACAAATGACAGAAGGGATCTATACGGATTGGGTAAGTCACCTCCGATACCATGACTCCACGCTAACGACTATAATGACCTTAAAGATCAAGCTAAGTACAATACATACAAAAAAAAATTTCCTGTAAAAGCAAAATGCGTAGAAAATAAACTGTCATCAAGTATAATGAAACCACATCAGCAGCAGGCTGCAAAGGGACTGTTGCGCAAGCGTCTGAGGACAGAAACAGGATTCTCAGATCCCGTAGCTCTGGTGCAACAGCTTTCCAAACCTCACTCCCGTTTTTAGGCTTCTATCAGAGTCCCCAGAAGCACACAAAGATACTTCGCTGTCTGGAACTTGACATATGCGTACGTGCAGTAAGTGTATACTAAAGATTAGCTTGCGTATACACATCAGTTACCAACACGCACACCTACTGAGCGATGCAAGAGGGAGTGAGTACAGAAAGACAGACAGGTCATTTCATAATATTTTAGCATTACTCTCTTGGAGCTCAACGTTATTGCCATGGGCTAATACGTCAAACAATATAGAACAAGCTTAACAGTATACAACAGATACACAGTAATTCCACAACTCAACAGTACCCACTACTCCATTTGGCAAAATATTTATTTATAATAAATCCATTCAAAAGCAGTTGGTCACAATTCATTTTACACTTTTAGGCTGTAACAATGCTTTTGGTAGAAGTAAATAAACTGTCTCTTTTTACACAGTGTACAAAAACAAAGAGACATTGAAATGACAGTTAACAATAAAACACATGAAAACAGGAAGAATTGGTAAGACAAAGGCAAAAGCAATAGGAATCTGTCTGCGCACCAGCAATGCTGCCATGATTATTTACCCGTACAAATCCTCAGCCCCACTTAGTTATTATCCCCAGCTCAGCTCTTAACTGCAGGTTTATGCTCCAGGAGAGGAATCTGATGCGATGTAGCAGCTCCAGTCACTCTTTCACAGTACTGCATGTCAACACTGGGAATGGTTTCTGATATGATTTAGACTGCACACAGTACTTAATAGAAAAAAAAAGTTAATTACTCCCACTCCGTAGTTCCTGGTGGCTTTGATGTCAAGTCATACATCACCCGAGAAATGCCAGGAATCTTCTTAATCTCCGCCACCATTTTTAACACAACCTATTGTGGAGGAAAAATAAAAATATCAGAAGAAAGCATGTAAAACAGACCCGGTAAGAACTATTAGAGAAAGAGCTTAAAGTAAAACTTAGTTCACACTAATTCTGTTATTCGCACAAGAGAGAAAGAGCCTATAGCTATTACCATGTTACCACCAATTAAGAAATAAAATCAACTCAAAGAAAACCTCTAGCTTCGTGGCATCTGCAGTTACATTTGAAACTTGCTGATTTTTGGCACTGATAATAAACCAGGGTGTCGATAGCAATACACTTCCCTCAAGGCAGCAGCTCTTCAGTTTCAAAACTATTTTTTGAGAGTTCAGCAGAAGCATATGCCGTTGTGTTACTATCAACCATTTTCAGACTTTTCTCAGACCATCATCTTCAGCTGAACCACCAAACACAAAGCAACAGCCTGAGTGAAACCCCTTTCAAAATAAAAAAGGGAGCTTTAAAGGTAAAGAAAACCAGAAAGTGGCATCCAAAGGAGCTTCCACTGAGACCTATTCTCCAGAGTTCACAACCAACTCATGTTAACAAAAGTATTCTAGATGAGAATTTGCTGATCCTTAGAAGTTCAGCTTCCTTAAAAATCCCACAGTTCATAACAATGCCACTTACAGTGGCTTTGCAGCGCAAGCATAAATTAAACAATGCATTGCTCTCCATGGAAAACTGAAAATTTTTAATCAAATATGATCATTATCCCCGTAATTGCAGGTATTTTCCACAACCTCTACTATTTTGTTACTGCATTGTTACCTAGCATTAAAGTGACGATTTTACATTTTGAAGAACACGGGAGGGGGCTTGTTTGCGTTGTGTGTTTTGTGGTGTTCGGTTGGGTTTTTTGGGTTTTGTTGTTGGTTTTGTTTTGTTGTGGTTGGTTTTTTTTTTAAACACAAACTTCAAGTTCAAATGAATCCTAATTTTATATAATGGAATAGTTTACATGGTATCTTAACATTGAATAATTTCTTTTTAAATAGATAGGCTGCATTAAAGAAGATGACTTCAGTTACATACAATTACTAAACAATGCCTATATGCTTTTAAAAGATGTTTAAAAAAAAAAAGTCAATCCTGTTCTTCATCTTCACTGCGTTCCCAGAGAGACAAAGTACTTGAAACTGGACATGGATGAAGTTTCCCAGAAAAATATGCCTGAACTTGACTCCTAAATCCCCCTAAATGGCAAACAGCACACTGAGATGTTAAACAGCAGGTTCCAGTAAAATCAGAAGTGGGGATCAAGGGCAATTCTGTAAGTCAGGACATATTTAATTACTAATGCAAAAAACTAATTTCAAGGTCCCAGGAATGGTTGGGGTATTCTTTCTTTTTTAATTGATGGTATTTTGGCTCAGCTCTGCTGGAAAGCCTTTGTCACCTGCCAGCTTCTCGTTTTGTTACAGTTTTTTCCCCAAAACACCACCATATTCTTCCTAATGAATATTATGAAAGAGAAAAAATTGCAACAAAATCAAAGTCAAGGCAAGCAATCAAGAGAGGGGGAAGGAAGTCAAAATGAGTCATCTGCAATACCAGCTCATGTTGAAAAGAAACTTGAAAACCTGTATTACCTCTTCTGGAACCTCATTACCAGGCGTTGCTGCAATACCAGTCATAAAATCACTTGTAATAAAAGTTCGAATAACCACAGATCTTTGACAGGAAGGTTGTTTCTGTAGGGGGTCCCGATCAAAATGTAATGGTGTCAGTATTATTGGCATCTGGCTAATTTTTCCGGCATAACCTTCAGAAAAATAGCAGTACAAAGCGCTTTAATTTGGTTTAAAGACACAAATGTGATAAAAGTTTTACAGAATTTCCCACACGTACTTCAAACTACATACTAGGAGCTATGTTTACATCTTCTGGGATCTTTTCGCTACTGCTACCACACCTTGGAAGATCACACTCATTATACAATTATGTAATTAGTGGTGCATGCACTAAAACTACTCAAATTGCCACTTGAAATAATCTTCAGCGTTTGCAGGCATGCAGAACAAAACCAGATAATCTCCGTGATCCCGTGAATGCAATTTAAGATCTACTTTCCTTCCCACATAACATAACCATGGGGTTTTTATCCATCCCCACACCAAGCCCAATAAAGAGCCACTCACGAGTATCTCTGACATATTTAAAATAATGCTCTTAAGTTGTTGCTGGTGGTTGATAGGTAACTCCAGACAATCATTTCTCCCCCCCCCTTTTTTTTTTAAAATATCTCCTTCTGAAAGCCAATACACAAACCCCCTTATTTCACTGTTTATATCATCTAAAAGTTTGAGATTCAGGTGTGTGACAGCCCGCAGAGCCAGTCTAACACTGACGCAGGCTTTCACCCTCTGCTTGCACCAGCTTGAGCTGTTGGCGCAAGGACTCTTTTTCACTAAATAACTCAAGTCTTATTTTTGGAAGCGATTCATTCACACAAAGCCAACCGTCAGCAAAAGTTAGCAAGACACATCTACAGTTTTCAAACACAATTGACTGTGTTATTATTTTGAGGCTATTTTTGTGCAAATTATGGTAAGACAACCTTACAAACAGAGTATGTATTTTCAAAAAGAGATATCCTTTGTAACTTGATTTATACAAAATAGAGGCAAGTCTGATGAACTGCTTCCCACACGAAACCTGAAACTCAAAACTGCCTGTGTACCATATCACAGGGTACTGAATGCTGCCTGGATGTTAAGGGTTTGAAGCCTGCTAGCCTGAAGTGATTGGGTTTACAACTACAGCTTTTACTTCAAGTTAAGAAATATGAAACCACCACAGGTAGTGAGTATCATCACCATTACAAAGTTAGTATTTGGGCTAGGGAGCCTCATTATTTACAAAATACGTATCATCACCATTACAAAGTTAGTATTTGGGCTCCCTTCTTTCTTCAAAAGCCTCATTATTTACAAAATAAGTCAAGTTCCTTCACACCGTTTATTTACTTCAGGTAAATACTGATGACTGAGATCATCAGCAAAGAGAAGTAATTTGGTTGACTTTCAGGAGGGTAACTACTTTTTGCAGAAGTCTGCACTGCAGTGAAGCACTACACCTCAGAGCTTCACGATCTGTCAGAGGTAAGCCTCAGTCCCCCCAAATCCCCTAAAGTTAATTCTGCTAGTAGAAAGGCTAGCAATTCCTGTCCTTCAGCTTCTACAACTGTCAGAAGAGGCTCTTGCCTGTCATCCCATTCATTTATCACTTCTTTGAAAATATTCAAGAAGCTTGTAGGTTTTGACAGTACCACTATAACTATACCCAGCTAGGTTTGCAGGGATCTTGAAACAGGAGTCTAATCCGTGGGATGAGGCCAAGTACTTACCAGACTCCCTGAGAATATTGTGAGCCTCAAAATCAGCTTGACGTAAAGTGCTGAGGACTCCTGTTGTCAGGAAAGTGGGGGTGACATCTGTAGGAGGTTCTTTGACTGGTGGACCGAACACATACACAACTCTGGAAAACAAACAGGATGGTAGGAAAAAGCCCCACATTTTGCATACATGGAATAAAACAGATTGCCTACAGACTGCATCTTTAGTAGTGCAGGGAGAAAATAAAACTAGGGAAAAAGGATATTTTATTTTGCTTCTTAGCTACTAACTAGAGCTTAACATAACTTCGTGCATATATTCTATAAACATGACATGCACCCTAGCTTTGGAAGTCAAGCATACTAATTTATTTTGGTTTGTTAGAGACTAGTAATAGCCCCCAAATTCCTTATTCAAGAGAATAATCCTTTGGAAAAAAACAAATACTAACTCAGTGGTATCACAAAGGGTGTTTTTTCAATTTTACTTTGATGTCAGTAAAAGTTAAGATTATTCTAAGAAAGCTACTTAATAAGTGCTTACAATTTCTGTCTTCTCTCCTAATAGGAAACTACCAAAAAAACCCATTAATCAGTAAACCTTATTGTTAAAGAATAGCTGTGTTTTCAGCACAGGGTGCTAACACTACAATTTATAAGCCTACATAACTACACCTGTAATAAAATACCTTCTGAATTCAAATCAGTCACATTAGCTGTGTCTTTTAAATCTCATTCACTCTATTTTACATATCACAGAACAAAACCAAAGTATAATATTGTCTGACAGGCCTCATACAAGGATTTATTATGACATATTCACACAAGTTATTTGAGTTTGTAGCTACAAACCAAGAATACTTGTCTAAAACCCAAAGCAGAAAAATATGCAAGCTTTACATTCTGTATTTCTGTTTGAAATATGAAGTCTGCAAGCAGAGCTGGGCAGAAGACCAACTATTTTGGTGCACGCCTCAAACTGCCAGCTTCAGTGTCCCTATAAACATCAATGAAAGATTCTGAAAACGTACCCTGATACAGCAGAACTCCCAGAGATGTGGTATATTCAGGAGGGTAGTATTAAATCCAAAAGAGCTTAAAGAAGACAGCAATGCTGTAAATCCAGCACATACTTTGAAACTGCACACGCAATCCTGATTTTATACCTTCTTTTGTTCCCTCTGCATTTAGTTTAAAGAAGTATCTTGCAATTCAAGATCTTGCATTTAAGAATAATACCCCTTTCATTATGTGACAAAATTAAGTTTTGCTCTAGGCAATTATAAGCAGTTTTGTCAGAAAGCCTACAGCCAGGCAAGAGGGATGTGCATTCTCCAGAACTGATTTAATATCTAAGCAACTTCAGCTGCTAGAAAACTTATGGAATCAAGCAGCTAGAAAATACATATGCACAACAGAGCTCAATTAAGATTAAACTGCCCAGCTTTGGAGCTTTCTTATGTGCCATTAGAACTGACAGTGACACGTAAACTCCCTTTTTCACAGAAAGCAAAAAAACACTGCACGACATCACAACTCATCAACAGGCTTGGAATATTTAAAAAAAGATTTTGCATAAATTACATTGGATGTTGTCTAATCAAGTGTTTAAAAAATTAGGAGATAGGCTATCGATTTCTTTTTCAAGCTAGTAATTCCAGAAATAAACCTATGTTTTGATTTATTGTGCATTTGTAACCTCTGCGTGACACACCTGTCCAACATATAAAAAATTCTACCATAGATTAAACAGGAGAATGCTTGTGCATGCTAAACTTCCATACATTAAGTAAGTCATCAGAAATAAAGATAATTCAAAATACTTACCTGTTTATGTTGTGGCACATGCGTGGTATGAGCCTGGCAAGAAACATAAGAGATTCCCAGTGTGGAGCATCTTTACTAGAGATCCCACAAACATAGCTATATGAACGACAGTCACCCTATAAATTAAAATAAAATAATAATTGAACTTGAAGTTTGCTGCCAAAATAGTTGACAATACTTTCCCGTTAATCCTGTAGATTACAGGACCATACTTTGAGTCAACATTTAGCAGACACCAAGCTGGTGAAATCAGTATACTGAGAGGTACCAAGCGAATGAGAAAATACAGAATAAGACAGACCTCTTGTGAGCTAACAAGAGCATATAAAAGGAAAATTTTCAGAATGGAAAGATTCATATAAGATGACCTGAGCATAGTATTGATCATGTGTTGTTATTGTGATCGCACCATCTGATGAAAGCCTATGATGAAGTGTAGAAATCTGCTGAGGATATTGCTATTCAAAATAGTAAGAAAAGCTGACTGCATGGAGTTACAGAAGACACACACAGCATTAAGCAGCTGATAAGAAAAGATATAATTCAATACTGATAAAGCAAAGAAAGGTACTTTACAGCTATGACTACTTAGTTAAGAAATCTTCCAAGTTACTGCACACAATTCCATGAGAATGCCAGCTCAGCATTTGGTGACAGAAGCACAAATCAAATACAAAGGACAGCGCAGAAAAATTCCAGTGGCATTAACGAAGGAGTGAAAGGAAAAAAAAAAAAACAACCACTATGTCACTGCACGGATTCAAGTGCTCCTGTGTCCTGAACGGCCTGCACTGCTCTGGTTCCTTTCCTGACAATGATAAGGACACAGTACAACTTGAAAAAGTACAGGAAAGGGCAACAAGCATGCCCAAATGTAGGAAGCAGGTTTTTTTGCATGTCTTAGTCTAGGACTCCTCAACCTTAAATGGGGAGACAGGATTACAGCAGAGGTCTATAAGATCATGAAGTCACGAAGAAACTGCCCTTACGTGACCAGCATTATTCAACCTTAATGATATCCTCAAATACAATACCTGGCATTTAGTCAAGTGTTTATTCAGATATCTTGACACCTTTGCACTACACCAGCACTGACAAATCACAGTAACAGAGGTATCACAGTTACTTAAAGTTTATGTTCTTGAGTCAAGCCCTTTATTTTCAATCTTAAAGCAGCAATTATTATGCTTCACTGCAGCCTGCCACACTGGCAGGAAGCAGCTTTTGGAACATCCCTGGAATGAACCCATTTACCTGCACTCCCACAGTTTTGATTGGTAACAAGAAGGCATTCAGTGAATGTAGGCTTGTAATCTGCATCAGCTTCTCCTGGTCTTCTTCAGTTGTACACGCTTTGACCCGTTGCAGCAAAGTATGTGGCTGTGCAATGACGCAGAAAAATAACTTTTAATTAAAGCCCCCAAGAACTTATAAATAATAATTTTATTTGCATTATAAGTAGCTCATTGCTTAAATTTAGTCCACATTTATGCCTTGGAACTATTTAAAAAGCTTTCATTTAACAACTAAATTTTAGCAAAACCAGTTTTATTCAATTGGACCGCACGTAGTTTAAGCCGAAATTCTCCAAGACTACAGGTGAAGCCCTTTTCCTATGCTCATTCTCTCTTTCACAAAACTAAACTTCTTTTTTTTTATTGTTTATTTCAGACACAGAATAAAGCAATATCCTGTTACGTTACCCTGCAATTCAGTAAGTTTTCAAGGAAATACTCCCCTTCAGTCGTTCTGAACTTAAGACTTTGATTTAGAGCAGGCCTCTGCTAACAACTTCCCAATCCCCTGCAGTTTAGCTCAAGTGAACTTACAGTACTCATTAAGATCATAACACAGTTAAGAGATTGAGAACTTAAACATCATCAATTAAAAACTTCAGGTTTCTGTTCGGGACATCTGGCAAGCACTCTCTCCTGCACTTTCATTTAGACATTCAGTGACTGATAGGGCATGCACATCTAGAAAGTTACAATTATGTCAGGGAGGGAAAAATCTCCAGAAATCCTCATCTGCACAAAGTTTAATTAAAGCAAAATTTATTTACTATTTGAAAGGTATATAAACTTCCATTTTCCAGAAATTGTTTAACACTTGCACCAGTCATGGTGCAAAAAAATTCTACTGTATTTACACTGAATGGCTTCAATTGAGTTGTACTGGAATGTGTTACTCCTTAAAGAGCACAAATAAGTAGTTTTCAACTTTTAGCAGCTTGAACAGGCCCCTACAGAATGATCACACTACTTTCATGCATATTAAAATTTAGCAATTTTGTTACCTTCTTAACACTTGCAGAAAAATCCGCCACTATTTTCAAAATGTTGTTTGTTTCAGGAAAGTCTTTGCATACATAAGGCTCTTCAGCACATATCACTCTGATTGCTAGACCAGGCCCTGCAATGCAAAGTTGAAAAAACATGACACTAAATAACAGGAAATCTGACTTTCATCTAGAAATGTGACAGCATCTGGAACAGCAGTCAATCACTGAGTACAGTATGCTTTGCCATTGTGTACCTATACTTCAATTGTCTTAACACCCTATAAGACAAAAAAAATACACACACAGTTTATTCTGGAACAATATTTCTGTTCAGTACATTGAAGCATTATTTACCTACACCTTAAATTGGCTGGCTGTGTAAAGCAACAGTTAGTGGTGAAGTGTGGTGGACGGCAAGCCAAGGCAAACAGGAACCTCCTCCTTCCCTTTGCTAGGCAACCGGGACGAAAGAGTTGTTTGTAACATATAGTTGAGTCTCCATTATGTTTAAAAATCCCTGACAGCTATTTTACCTTGTAGCTACTTAATGCAAAAGCACATGTAATTTGCTAGAAATGTCTGAAGACAGCTTCTTGCATCTCATGTGATGCTGGTGCATTAGCACAACAGCCTACGCCCTCTGGCAGTGACTACTACACACCCTGCAGGACAATTTTAAAACACATGGACAGAAAAACATAACCACCTTAAAAGGACGTGGACTTTGCTATATCACATACTTTACTGTTTTCTGGTGGAGAACTGTTATTTTCCATGCAGTCATTTTCAAAACAGCGAATGCCTCTTAGAAAGGCAGGCAGATACAGGCCATTATTTCAAGAAAGATGCATTTGACAGCTCAGGCAGCATTCAGCTGCACTGATAATTCTTGCTTTGGCTTATACAACTAAAAAGAAACAAATACAGCCAAAAGCAAACTCAGTTGTAAAACTTTTCCTTTAATCACTATACATAACAAAGCTGCTCTCAAACATTCTTCTCCTGAAAAAAGATCCTGCTTAAGTAAAAATTAATAAATACATCCATTTTTTCCTGTTTAGAGGCATGTTTTATACTCCAACATAAGTTTATTCTACAGGTTAAGTACACTCTAAAAAATACTGATGTGATCCACAGCCCTTCACTAAGTAGCACAGACCAACCCTCATACCTGGGAAGGGATGCCTTGAAACCAGCTCTTCAGGAAGACCAAGTTCTCTCCCTAGCACCCGCACTTCATCTTTGTGAAAGTCTTTCAGCGGTTCTATTACTTTACCCTTAAAAATCAGAAAAAGCAATTTACAGTCCAGCTTACATATTCAGACAAAAAGCCTCAAATGTTTTAGGTTATGGCATTCAAATTGGCTTGCTTTTCACAGCATTGGCTGCCAACACTTGTATAAACACTGGGAAGAAAAGTACATGTGAATGTGGGCTTTGTAAAAACAGCTGCAGGACAGAGGCCAAGGCAAGGAAGTTTAAGTTCATGCCAGAAGTATCAATGGCTCAATCAATGTAGATATAGCTGTAGGTGAAGTCTGCTCTGTTTTCAGAAATTCAGACCTTTCTTCTCTTCTCTAGATGTTCAAACCAATCTAGAAGCCTTGAAAACGCTTTGTACAGTATTAGAAGTGTGGGTCAGTAATGGTTACTCTCTCCTGTGGTTGGACACTTACTAATAACTGAGCACCTTCTAACAGGGTGGTTATGTGATGTCTCATGTGTTGATTCTTTTTTATTTTATAACACAGAGAAGCTACCATTCTAATGTCAGAAAAGGCAAAACAGGGCAGTCTCCTACATTTGCTTCATATGCTAATAGTTAAGAGCTCTGCACAAGAAAGGTGTTCAAAAAGCTTTTCTGGACTTTGGACTAAACAGACTGATCAGGAATGCAATCAAAAGGATAGGACTTGGGCTGCTTATCTTCAGACAGTTCAACCATTTTGGCCCTTTCTCTCAACAGGAGTTAACTACGTTTTCACTAAAGAACTGTCACCGCTCTTGCCTGAATCCATGTGCCAGATGTGGACGATCAGTACCTAAAGGTTACCCACTGACTAGTGTTCAGAACAAGATACAACAGAAAGAACAAGTAACCCATTACATCACGAAGTCCAGTTGAACCAGAATGAAGTTGTCTGAGAAGTCTTAACCTACTCTCCTGCTAAAGGCATTTCATATTGCTCTGCTTTCTTACTAGGATAAAAAAAAAGTAGTGAAATAGTGAGGAAACAGCTTGCAGTCGAGAACACCATTGGTCACACTGAGTGAATCCACGTTCAATCTGTTGACATCTTCCTCAGTATCTAATGGTGGACAATACTCAAACAATTTTGACTACTTTGGGAATGTAGCAACATATTACGACAGAATCTAAAGGGCCTCATCAGAATAGGGTCCCATCAACATGACAAAAACTCAGAAGTTCTTCATTTTTGATACTCAGCTTCACCTCTGTGAGAACTAGAAGGATACACCAGTATCCTCATTTTCATTTACCTCTTCTCTTAACTTTCGAATCAGCTCTGTGTCATTATGATGAGTTTTGATGACTTCAGCTTTGCCACTTGCAACAAGGGAAGCGCTTTCAATGAGATCAGGTCTGAGCGTACCCTGAGCAAGAAAAACCTCTTCGGGTTTCAGATTCATTTCTCCAATAACTTCATTGGCAATCTATAAGATGGAGAGAGAAAAAAAAAAAAAGTATTCCAATCTACTTTTTGGCTCTCAAAGGTCTAAAGGAATATAATGGATTGCCCAACAAATGCTACTGAGCTGCCAAAGCACAAACAGGAAGAATAATTATGACACTAGCCCACTGCTGAAATAGTCCTATAACCCCATATTTTGTTGAAGAGAAAATGGAAAAAGTATCTTCAGACTACAGGAACATCCCTGCCTGTTAAATATCATTCTCCCTGCATCACCAACACTGATTGCTGACAGGTGGAAAACGGGTAATCTTCAGCAAAGCAGCAGCAGGAGGCCCCAGTTCACATTAGCCAGCAGACTGGTGAGAAAACATTATGTGGAAGTTTATGCAACAGCAGTGAATGGCCAACCAATATAGTAAATCTAAGCATGATGGTGGGTCTAGTACAATGCTTATGAACCATGTTGTGACCATTGACTGCCAAAAATTTTAGGCTTAGGGTAACGTACCAATGGCTTCTTTAGGTCACCCACAACTTACAAGACTGCTGATGCCGCTGAGTGCACACAGCTTTAGAATGAAACAAAAGTCTGACAGAAGATTTATCTAGAAATCATACTATTTAAAAAAAAAAACCAACACACACAACAAATAATGATAAATATTACCTTAACAAAGGTGTCACCAATAATTTTTCTTTTTTCTTCAGGACTTGTAGTCATATTTAAGGTCTTGCTAATTCTTTTACGTGGAGTTCTGTCTTCATCCGAGATGGGCAGAGTTGTTGTACCATTATAGAATGAATGAGCTGCATTCACCACTGCATGAAATTACAGGAATTTGTTGGCAAGGCCAGTAAAGATTTTTATGCAAGGTTGCAAAAAAATAAGTTTCATTCTATTGCTTAAGAAAAAATAATAAAATCATTCCAGTCCTTTGACTATTAACTGCATTAAATAGGGCCGTTCAATACCTCAAGAATTAATTGTAACAAAAGCATTTTATTTCTTATTAACCTACTCTAGAGGGCAATTTTTTCATATTATGAGGCTAGGCAACCGTGTGAAAGTTCAGTTCTGGCTTCCCCTCTTAGATTATAATTTACTTGCTTTATTTAAACAGTTTACAGGACGGTATTTCCCCAAGGCCTTTCTGCAACCAAAATTAAATGATGCACTATTTACTCATGGTACATTATGCCTCTTAATTTAGAGAGGCTCTCAATGCAGAGATCAGCTAGGAGACTCTTTGGCATCTTTTACCAGCACTGAACTCCATGACCTACAGAATGAGGATTTGCAGCAAAGGGATTCCCTCAATTTGTTACTCTGGCAGCCTGCCAGAGCCCAGGTTTACTGGTCTACAGAGTGCAAGAAAAAGACATAGATTTTCCACTAAAAAAAGAAAAGGTAAAAATAATAAAAAAAAAGGTGTATGTAGAACAAAGCTTAGACTTTGCTGCATCAGGATCTTGCAGCCCAATCTGCAAGATGGTAACGTGCAAGCTCCCTGCACTGTTTCACACTGTCAGGCTAGTGGAAAGCATTACTCAGTTAGTGCCACGCTTCCTGACCAAAACACAAGAGAATCACTTGACAACAGTACAGCCCCAGGAATAGGCAGCTATTACTCATGAAATAAATTAGCCAGGCAGTATACAGCAGGTCTCATTGTTTGCACAACTCAAACATACATAATTTGTCTTCTGACCTCCTTGTACTTCAGGTAACAAAAAACTCTAAATCTTCTCATCAGCCATGATAAGGTACCTTCCGCTCTCTCATAATGTATTGCTTCTCAACAAGCTACTCCAAAAACAACTAAAAAGCACCTATTTAGAAGGCAGGAGAACAAAAAAAGATGCCTCAAAAAAGCAGTTTTGGCTGTAATAGTATTCAACCACCCAAATGAGCTCACAGTTTAAAAAGAAAGAGATCCAGGACAAGAAATAAAGCCTCAGTGGAGGACTGTTAACCAAGCTACTGAAGAAAACTGCAATCAAATTAGTTTTACAGCAGCTTTAAAAGGATTACTCAACCATCAGCAGAATAGTGACTGAGCAGAAGCAACTGAGGCACATACCCACTGCTTTGCTGTGCCCCAACAGCAGATATCGGATCTCAACAACTAAAGAGATGACTCAGTTCACTGTATGCTCCAATCAAATAAGTAAGGCTTAATATTTTAGGTTTGAAATTTTGCGAATAGGCCTAGGTTGTTCCAAATTAGCAAGCCTGCTTTGGTTTGTAAAGTCTGAGAACCACAAAGGTCAATTCAAATCAATGAAACAAAACCCTAAACATACATTTTGGGAGACTGGCCACATTGTTAGTGGTATCAGGCATATTTAATAAGATTATGGTACCTTTAACTTGAATCCCAAGTTTTTTGAGTGCCTCTTCCACAGACTGACTCTCTCTTTTGCGCATAAACCCATTATCTATGTGTACAGCTATGACCTGATCTTGGTTTAAAGCTCGGTTCAGGAGAGCAGTACACACTGTTGAGTCCACACCACCGCTGAGTAAAACCTGATGATGAGGAAAAAAGACAAAATTTGGTCAGCAGCCTATGGGGAAAGTGTTAAATAATTCAGATGCAACTACGAGGATCAGAACAGGCTACTGACTTACAGCCAATGATTTGGAAGAAAACAAGAAGTCAAACAATGTATCGACCAATTGTGCAAACATTCTAAAACCTGTTTAATGTATTCCCCAAGTAATGACAATTTTGCGTTTTTCAAATTAATCTGAGTAACTGTGTCAGTGTTTCCATCAGGCTTTTGCAAATAATCATTCAGCTTCAATTCAAAATACTTACCAGGACTTTTGATGAGCCCACTTTCTCTTTGATACTTTGAATGCACTGAAGTTCTCTGTTTTCCACTGTGAAGGTACCACTGCATCCCGCAATATCGTAAAGAAAATTCTTCAGGATCATTTTTCCATTCACTGTGAGGCTGACTTCAGGGTGGAACTGTGCTCCATATAGTTTTTTAGATTCATTTGCTATGCCTTCATTGGTGCAAAGAAATGAGCATGACAAAAAAAAAAATTGGAAGCAAAATGCATACCCAAGGAAGTCAAGCATACAATTTTTGAGTGATTTATTCTGCCACATTTTGGCACAAATCACCAATCAAAACTAAAGATTCTGGTTAAGATTAGGAACCAGAGTACTGTTACATGTCTAGAACACACAGTCCCTCAGAAACCAAGGAAAACACTCAGACATCCTAGGAAAACCATTGTGAAAACAGGAAATCAATTACATTAATTTTGTCCTCACCACATGATACCTCATACAACCCCAGCCACATTGACACAGCTGCATCCCTATTAAAGGGTTGTGCTGGTCAAGCTGTGCAAGTGTCCCTACAGCGGTTCACGAGTACCACTGCTCTCTTTAACAGTCTCTGGAGGGCTACTTTGGGTAGATCACAATACTGCACCTTGCACCAAGTTAAGTGTTGGTCAGACTGGGATAAAAAAAATAGTAGGGAAACTGCCTAATTCCAGTGACCTGCGTTAGGTTCCCCGGTATGCTGTACCACTGTATTTCTCTCCCTGCTGGAAGCCTGGCTATCACCTTACCAGCATTTCTTTGCTTGCTTAGGCACAAGAAGCCACAGAGTTTTGTAAGAGCACACATGAAATGGCACAGGAGAGTGTTGTGGGTAGGAAAGGTACAAGTCTGTTTCTAATGCCTACATAAAGTAGGGTTAAAGGTATCAGAGGTCCGGTGGAGCTTGCACACTGGATGCAGCAAACTTTACATAGTAAAACAACTTACAGAACTGTCGAGTAAGCATGAGTTCTAGATCGCGTCAAAGACAAGCCAGAATATAATGAATGCTCTGTTTAATCTTAGCAGCAGTTTGGAAAGAATCTTTCCATAACTAAACATCTTTAACTCTTTTAAAAGATCAGTTTTTCTCAAATTAGTTACCTGTCTGATTTAAGAGCAGTGTCTTAAGCCTTTTTCTTTTTAATGAAATTTTTAAAATAAACCAGGTGAACACTTTGATATCTTACTAAGTGGCTCAGCAAACTTTAGATGTCTCCAGATCTCCCACCTCCTAGGAAAGAGTAGCTTTCAAACCCCAAATTTTCAGGTCCTACATTTTTCTGTGACAATCTGTGTGTAATGTTTGAAACAGTGCTTTCAGTACCAACATTATTTTTGTTCAGTTGACCATTCATGCAATAATATCAAATACAATAACAAGTTAATCAAGCTTTAATAAAGTGTTGACTTGTACTATTACAGTGCAAAAACCAAACATCACTTACACTGTGCACTACAGTAAATGTCTTCTCCCCTAACGACACACAGTATTTTATTTCAAAGAGAAACAACACATGCATACTTTGAAATAACATCAACTGAAACAATAAAGTTAAATTTTCCTTAAACCACCAATTTAAAACCAAAACTATTCATTTTCTTGTCTATTTCTTTCTTCATTATCAGGACAGCACAATACGCAAGCAAACACATACCAGAAATTGTTAAAAACAAGTTCACTTGTTTGGCAATTAAATAACCAAGATATTCTGTTCCCATTTGGTTCTAACTACTGCCTGCCATATTCTTTCCTTTAATGAATACTATCAAAAGACAATTTCAGTATAAAATAAATACCTGCTATGATGTTCCCAGACTGTGCAACCACTTTGAATCCATCAGCTACTTTATCCACACTATCTCCATGAGTGAGGAGCACAAGCTCTTCCTTCTGAAGGCCCCTAAACAAAGATTAAAAACTAGAACCAATTAAAAAAAGAACAAAGACTTAACTACCTGTGTTTCCAAGGGAAGCCCTCAGGGATCCCAATAAAAGCACACCTTGATTGACCAGGTCCATCTGAAATCTATGCAGGATTTCCTTCTCAGAAACAGTCACCTCCAGCTCTGAGATGCCTCCATTGGAAGCTGTGTAAGTTCTTGTAGGTAAGGTAATTTGTCTTAATTCAGAAGGGTTGGTTGGGTTTTTAATAAACACACCAATATTGAAGTATCCCGTCTTTTACACGTAGAGCCATCTAGAGTCAACCAGGATATTTGGGAGTCCTGCTTTTTATTTCAATGAAGTGAAGTTTTCTTGCTCAAAGCTAAGTGTTTTCAGGACAATTTTGGCACCTAGACTTTAGGCAGGGCATTACTTTCTGCAGTAGCCTTACAGGGGAAAGTTAATAAAATTCGAATGCCAGGTATGAGTAAACTGTTAGAATTATTACAAGGAACTTGAGAGGCCTTGACAAACTACCAAGAAATCTAATTCTGGTTTTACAAAACATCACAAAGCGATTTTAAAGGAAGGTAGAACACAAATGGTTTCACAGTTTCTATTACCTTTCAAAAATTGGATGGGTGCCAACCAATGCAAGAATAACATACTGCACAGCAGAAGGATAGGAGAGCTTAATACAAAGATTCTCATGTTATGGTACACTTTATGGTGTCTCAATGAAGGCGTTCTACTTTGAAGTAAGGGGTTTACGCAATATTCCAAGCAAATATATCTGCATTTCTAGAGTCAGTTGAGAAGTTATGCCTAAGTATTTGTTTAAATGAGTAACTTGCTTACACAGCTGTAAAAGTTTATTAGAAATTATCAGACACATATGGGTACAATTTCAGTATTTTCTTTAAAATAAGCTTCCTCTCACCCAGCCACCGATTTCCAGACTGGTGTTCCAATACTGTTTTGATAACTTAAAAAAAAGTCTATATACCTGAACAGTGAACATGTGTTATCCAGAGTAATGCTGAACACTCCATCTTCTCTAACACTCTTCTTGTGCACTGTACCTCCAAATACCTTATTCATCATCTGTCAAAACAAAAATATTACATGAAAATGCACCACACAATCTAGTACCACACTTACCTCAGTCTGCCTATGACTGACAACAGCTCTAGCCCTCCAATACATACCAACCTAGTTTTTCAGGATTATACTAATTTAATATATCGCTTTGCAAAATAAGAAGAATTATCTTCAAAATTAATTATTGTTCTGTATTGGGCCCATTCCCTTCTGCCAGCCTTCTGTCAGCATAGCTGGGGACCGCTGCCACACACAACGAGCAGCAGAAACCCACAACTGTAGACAACAGGTAGAGATTTGCAAAATAATGCATATACAATACTGTACATCTACTTGCACTTAGAAATGGCTGCTCGGCAGATCAGCTGCGTATCTGAGGCCAGTTATGATAAAAACAGTTAAGCTGCTGAACAAAAAACTGATTTATCTATCCTTTAGTCAGGGGCCCTCAGATAGGCTTAAAACTTATCAAAATCTGGCTCCTCAGCTCTGGAGAACCAGTCAGAAACTTGAGTTTATTCCCTTAGTGCTATTTTTGTGACTCTTAATCATCCTTGCTATATCAGAGCAGTACAATTCTTTAACCAGGTTTTTTCTTTCTGGAGTTGGATATATCTGCATTTTAGATTTCAGAATTCTCAAAATAGAAATTTTTTTCTTGCAAATATAACTGGCAACTTAAAAAATATTTTTAGAGTTTCACCTTCCAACTACTTTAATTTTCAGAGATATATGGTTTCATTTTAGACCTAGTTTGATATTATACTTACTGTGCTTGACTGATTTCAATCTTTTATAATGAGTAGTAGTGTGTTAATACACACACACACTTGATTAATTTCCATAAAGTCAGCCTTAAGGAACTCCCCTGCTTGAGGCTAGCTACCATGGTTTTCAATTTGCTTGGAATTTTAAGGCATATTTCAATAACACACGTTTCCCTTTAGAACAGGGAGTGCCAGCATTGTTTCCGTAATTACCAGCCTTTCTAAAGGAGTTTTTCCAGACATTATTCAGCACCTCTGAAGGCCCAGTAAATCACTAACTCTGGGGAAAAAACAAGATGCACAAGCAGAAGTCATGCATCTAATCCATCCCTTGTCTCCTTGGATGTTTGTTCTTTCACTCAGCTTGAATCTACTAGATCACTGCAGGATCACCAGAACTATGCAAGAAACATTCCACACTTGAAAAACAAAGGGAAAGACTATTTCACTTGTTTACATGAGGGGCGTATTTTCCAATACCAACTAGACATAATTAGTTAATGACTGCCAGGTTATATTTATTGTGACAAAAAAATGCAATGTGGAACCCAATTCATAGCACTTAAGAAAAGACAAACCATTTATGCTCTTGATGCAGCAGAGCCAAGAGAGAAATACCACAGTATGCTCAGTTTACCAATTAGCACTTTAAAAGTATCTTTTGCACATGTGGCATACTGCTTATATTGAAAAGCAGGTCCTTTAGCAGTTTGTCTTCAGTTAGCATCAGAAATGAGGCCTAGAAGACAGCTGTAGACAAACATATCTCTCAACAGCACCTGCATGCCATAGCAGATTCCAAGAACTGGTTTTCCTATTGTAAATATTGCTGGGTCAAACCATGGTGCATCTTCTGCATACACAGAGTTTGGTCCTCCAGATATGATGATAGCTCTGCAGACAAAAGATAAAGAAAACATTAAATCATATATACTGTTTACTTTAAAATATCTTTATTTGCTTTAAACATTGACATTGTCTCATAACACTTAGCACTCTATATTCTCTAATATAAATTAACAGATACCCTAACATATAGCTTAACTTTGGTATGCTACAGCTGTCAAAACCAGCAGCTTACTAGAGCAGCATTTCATCAGTTTAAACAAAGTCAAATATAAACCATCTCAAAAAGTGACTGTATTTTAAATTCCTCATGGCCGAGCATCAACTGCAAGAGAAGCAAGATGGCTAGGATCAAATGCAGAGTATTAGCATTAAGATTATATATACTTTATAACGTCTGTGCCATCTGGAGGGGAGTTGCATAAAAAAAAAAACCAAAAAAACCACAAACCAAAAAGACTCCCAAACTTCTAAAGCTGCTGAGAAGAATGTCCCTTAATCCACCCTGATTACAAAGCGAGATGGCATTAGCACCAGGTTGTGAATTAAAAGTCCAATACATGCAAGCATTTATGGTTTGAAGTTAATACTTCCCACTATAACAGAAAAATAAATCTTTTCAAAGGGGAAGAGAGACCTTTGCAAATCATGATGATTTGCAAGGTTGTGAACTGCAGAAGTACCAGCCAGTTGGGTAATGCTTTTTGGCCTCAACCCAGGCTCAAACATGGGCGTACCAAACCTTGGACTCGTGTACTGTTTATTTTGCAGAGAACATCAAATCCGTTATTCAGAATGAGAAATGAAAAATAGGACAAGAGAAAAGTTGCATACACTTAAATGCATCTAATAAAGCTTTCTCCTAGCATTATTTAGAGTGCTCGTCATGCAAGTACTGACAAAATAGATTTTTCTATTTTTAAGCAGCAGAAACGGGCAGTGAGCTTACAACATCTGTAGCACTGGCAGAAATAATCATGTAGTAACAAGCCCATGTACTGAACAGCACCTCTCAACTGCAGTCATGCCAGGTACCAACACACAGCCAGATCTCCCCAGCAGCCCACCTCCACCTCTCCCAGCCCGGGCTCCTCATTTCAACCCAGGGGACAAGGCTGAATGGAGGCACCCCTCAGAGCCAAAGTACAGCGGCTTGCAAACTGGAAGAGGCAGCATTTATTCTTTGTATGTCAGGATCTACAAGTGAGCTTTGGAATAAGTACACAGCTGATGCAGGTATAGTTTTACGCTGAACGGTCTTGACTACTAGTACCTGCTGTACATGTACAGGCACTTCTGTTCAAGTCTGAGACGCAATGAACTTCCTAAACTCAGATGCTGCTAGAAAAAGACCGAAAACTCTTTAATGCCTGCTGGCCTTACTGCTTCTAATATTCCACATACAGAAGCATTTGCTTAAGTGCCATATGTACAGAATAGTATTTAATATTTATTAAAGGAAATATAGCCACACCTATTGAACATTTTTATGAGAAGTCAAAATAGTTATACACTGTCCTATTCAACAAGTAGTCTTAAAAATCTGCTTTTTTCCATACCAATTTAAATCCCACAGAATACAGAAAGGTTATCCAATGTGCTCAAGTATTAAAGAAAAAAATTTATGAGCTGAGGTGGGGAGAAGAACCTGCATCTTCTCAACTGTCCAGGAGAAATTAAAACTAGCACAGGATGTAGATTTTGAAAGTTTTACTGCAACACCATTCATACCTTCTTGCGTTGGTATGAATATACCTTTTTCTGGTTTACCTTAAACTGCTTCCAAAACAACTTGACCTAACTTCGGAAAGCCTATTTGCAATGGATTAAAGGCACATCAAGAACTATGTCCAAACACCAAGAGTAAAACACAAGCATCAATATCCCAGCCTCAGGACTCGTGCCAGAGCTCAGACAGTGCCAGAATTCAGACTTAATGCCAGCAGAGCCCCCAACTGTGGCATCTCATCAGCCCAGCATCAGGATCTTGTGGAAACTGATAAAGTTTATGTCACATTTAGATGAAACTTGTCACTAGAGACTGTTCTGAAACCATGAAAACTGAGGAGCTGGCTTTTTAAACACAACATGTAAATACAATTTAGCAAAATGTTTAATCTTGCTGCATGTCTCAAACCTTAGCACAGACCAAAGTGTAGCTCCTCGTCCCATTCAATGCATGAGCTGCAGCACAGAAACCTGGCTATTCCCATGACATGTGGAATATATATAAAAATCTTGCAGTAAAACCACAAACTGATTTTTACAGTGGTCACCGAATAAAGGCACCCAACAGCTGGCGTCAGTATTTGTTCAGCTTTCCTGGATGCAAATGATTGACTGAGACTGTGGACACAAAGATTATTGACCACTCTGGGTAACCAATAACTGAAACCACTACCTTAACCTTGAGAAGTGACCTTTTGAATGAAGAGGTTTTGCCACGTCTTAGATAGCAATTCTTTGGAATGACAAGTGCAATGGTTCTAATCACAAGACTTGGAAGAACCTTCAACTGTGAAAAGAAAGAGGGAAGAGGTCTTCCCACTACAAACCTGCATCAATACAGCACAGGTCTGAGAGGAAACATCATTAGTATTATGACCCATACCTCAAATCCAACACACAGGAGATGCTGGAATTCTTTTTAAACCAGTAATTAGGTACGTCCACTTTTTAAAGACTTGATTGTTGGAGAATTATAAACGAGATCTGACAAGAGAAGGTATTTTTCAGAACATTTCTGAAGAGAAATTCTTCACACAACAGGTACTTGACAGATCCAGCAGTTCCTGGGGTTTCTGCTCTCTGTGTTTTCAGAAGAGATCAATAAGCTTCTATCTGACTTACTAAAATACACTGTTTACTGGTTCACTAATTATCATTGATTAGAAAAACAATTCTGCAGCAAAGCACTGTCTTAGCCATTGTCAGGCACAATCAAGAAGCACACATGCACCGTACTTCTGGATTTGTACCAGACTGACAAGTAAGGTCTTTGAGGATTTGTAGACTTCAGGGTATTTATTTTCCCTCCAGAAAAAGAGAGGCATACCCTGGTAAGCCTAACAAAATAAGAAAAAGAAACATACAAAGTACAAAATAACTGTGAGACCTTTTCTTGCTGCAAACAATGAGTGGTAGTTTCAGGTTTTTTAATTGCTTCCCAGAAAACAGTTTGGCATGATTTACCACAATATCTTCAGTATCCAAGTTAGTTAGTTGTGGGGTTTTTTTAAATTAAACTAGGAAAATAATTTTTAGAAAGTCACAGAACTTGTTTTCTTGACTAATAGCTACCCCTAGTTTAACAGGTAAAACAGCAAGATCATCTAAATTTTGGCAGATACATATTTACAATGCAACCTATTAAATGATACTTACAAACGGAAATGATTAAAATGACATTAAGGCATTAAGAAGCAAATATAGACAATTTATATTGCTGCACAGGTCTCCCCAGCAAAACTCATGTGTTTCTGTGAATAAGCTAAAGATGCAATCATTAACATCGTTACAATGAAAGTTATTGCACATAAAGACTCAGGCAAATACCACCGCTGCCAACACGCACAGATACCATTACACCAAAAGGAGAGAACAAGAACATACAGGCAGAGGCATCATGGAGAACCACCTACCGAAACCCGTGTTCTCTGATTGCAAAGGCTGGTGTTTCCAAAGGGAAGATCTCGGACTGGACGAACAGCTCGCGCACCCGACGATCTATGACTTTCCCGTACTGCGCTCCGGCATCGAGTATGACGACGGCTCCCTCATAGCAGTGCTGCCCATCCTTGAGCTCTCCTCCGGCATTCTCCGGCTGCAAACATCACTCACGTCAGTGCTTTATGGTGACACATTGCAGACCACAGACTTTAAGCCAGATCTCTTAAACTAACATCTGCAAAGCCTGCTAAGGCTACCCATATGTTAATTTATTATTAAAATGATAAAGACTAGCCGAGAAACTTCTAAATGAAAAAATCCTCAAGTCTACAAGGACCAGTAGATGCACTGGCAAGATAAAGGGGCTATACATTAACACAGCACATCCCTCCCAAGCAGCCACACAAACATGACATCCCTATCCCCTAAAACAAGCAGGGTACAAATTAGGGCAGAAAAATGCTAACAAGCTAATGAAGGCAAAGCTTTCCACAAATAAGAAGTCATATGCTCTGGTTCACCGCTCCAGCTTTTCCAGTTTTACTATAAAACCCAGCACACCCCATGATAATTAAGAGCACGTGCCTTTCTTCTCAAGCAAAACAGGACAGTGCAAAGTCAGAAGAAAAATGTTTTTCCCCCATCACACTGCCTCATACACTGAAATTTCATTTGACATCACCTCCTGGAGAGAATAAAAAGGGAAATTGAGAACAAATGGCTCTTCTAAATGATTTTACAAAACGCCAACTTTTGAATGAAGCATTCAAGCAGATTGCACATCGGAACAAAGCAATGGTTCTCTCTGACCCCGTCACATTTGAATTGGTTGGCCAACTTCAGCTAAATCTGAAAGAGGGCTAGGAAACACAAGGACAAGTTCCTTCTTTTTTAAAAACAAATTGTGAAAAAGAGGCAGCTATTCCACCAAAGTGTCCTTATCAAAGGATCTTCAGGGAAGAATGAACACAACCACACTAAGACACCAACAAATTTATGCAGAAAAATTTCCACTCCTTAAAGAAATTGCTTACTTTGGGGGGTGTTTTCCCCTTAACTTAAAGCTAACACTGGTTCCTTGCCAATGTAGTTTGATGAAGGAAAAACCGGGAAGGGTTTTACATTGGCAAACGCTGCCTCAAAACACATCTGGAAGCTTACGACCATTTCAAGGTTTAATTATGGCACGTTGGAGTTGCTCTGCATGTTTGTACCAGGCAGCGCATCCTTTGACCCAGGGCTCAGAGGAGGTTCCCGCCACTGCTGCTCAGGCTCCAAAGGAAGCCGGAGCAGCCTGCAGCATGCCACAGTATTTCAACTTGGGCCAGATAATCACCCCCATACCAGCCACGGGTCATTCTGGAGGAGAGCATCATCCTGTTGGGACACATTCTCCTCAAAAAATACACAGCAAAAGCTGCCTTTCAGCTTTCTTCATCAGCTACCAAGAGACACCTCAGGTAACTATTTTCAAACTAGTCAAGGAAGGCAAGCACATTGGAAACTTACAAAGTTTACACTAGCTGGAAAAGGTTTTATCTAAATTAAAGGACATAAGCAGAAAAAAACAGCATTAAATCCCTCAAAAGCCTAAATCCAGGTTAGAGTCAGTTACTTCATTTGTTTCCTTCAGCTGGTGTGCCTGCTGGGGAGCCCTTAATGACTTTTTAGTCTTGGGTTACACAATGAAAAGGGCACGTGTTGGGAGGAGAGCAGACTTCATCAGCAAACACCCCTTCAAACCCCCCTGGTCAGATGGATAGAAGTCACCAGAACTGTCTTCCCTTCCAGTGGAAGGAAGGGAATCACTTTTAGAGTAATTCTGGGCATTTTCACCTAGCAATTTCTAAATTAGCAGTCCTTGAGAGAAAGACCAACATCCTTATTCCTTCTTGATCCCATCTTGTGGCAAACACTACTCCTTGCAGTGCTATTCCTTATTAAGTCCTCGTTTCAGAGCATGTGCTGTAGCTTGTACTATGAAGGGACAGAGCACCGCAGCACCCTCAGCTTAGTGTCCGAGACTGCCCACATCCACCTGCAAGAGACCAGGGTGGGACGTAAGCAGCCCCCTCCAGACCCCTGGGCGCGTAGCCAGCCCTCACATGGATGGGCCCTGGAGTTTCCCAACCTGCAGACCACCCCTAAAAAGCTGCAGAACGAGTAAGAAGAAAGTAATACAACTCTGTGAAGGCAGCTTTTACACTTTAGAGTAAAAAAAAAAAAATACTAAACCCAAGTTATTGTTGGCATCAGCTCAGCTGGACCGATGGCCAAGCATTTACATCTGTAGCTGGTAAATAAATTTTGCTTTCAGCACCCTACCCTGAAGGCACCAAGCTGCTTTGAGCAGTCAGGTATAGTTAGCCAGGGCCAAGCAACAGCTGAGGGGGAGACACGCGTGAAAACAGAAAGAGCTTGAAGTTACATTGGCAGTAGTCTGAGAAACATTGCATAAGGCGGCATAAGTAGGGCTGTATCTCAAATGAACCTGCACATTCCTTCGTTCTCCTCAGCAAAAGCAGGACAGTGATACATACCCGTTCATCACAAAAACGAACCGGACGAGCCTCTGCGCTGCAGTCACCCAGATGCGAGCGCTTGGCTCCGGAGCTGGCAAACCCCTCCCCTGCTTCTTCAGTCTTGCCAAGTAGAGCATCGTTTTGCACAACGCTCAGAGGAACACTTTCACAGATATCTCCATCAACACTAGAGTTACTACTTAATCGTTTATGTGGCCCTGAAAGATGGCTGTTCAAGGCTTCAAGTAATAGCTCATTGCCTGAGTTTTGCTGGGAGTCCATTAAAACCCTCCCAAAATCTCAAAAGCCAGCATCTAATCACAGCTCAGAAGGTTTTTCCTCAGATGATGCTAAGGGCATTTGGGTTAAAATCCAGTAAAAGCACTGCATCCATGAGCAACGCAGACCATACGGGGAAGATGAGCAAGGAAATATGCACCTCACCAGAACAAACAATAAAATCATTCAATTGGTGGCCTAATAACTTGCTGCTCCCTTAGATGTGGGCTTGGAGTAAACTACAGGCTGAAATAATTTTCTCCCAGTAGTACACAGGGGACTGCCCACTGCCCTTTTCTCCTGTAGGCAATGTGAGTTAACACAGGCGACCATCACCACACGGACTGACTCAGAGGAGTTTTTGTATTTCACTTTTGAACTGAAGTAGAACTGTAAGGAGGTTCAGCTCTGAAGAGAGCCCAATAGAAATGCTACCGTAAATCACATGGAAAAAGAGGAAGGAGAAAGGCAGTAAATCAGTACAGGATCTGGCTTTATTTATTTAAAGGCACAGTTACAAGGCTAGGGATTTTGAACTCAAATTTAACAAGGGAAACTTCATTTAATAAAATCAAAAAAAGGAACAGATGCTGTTAACACACAGCCAACATGGCACTTTAGCTCGTGTGTTTGTATACCATACACATGCCAGGAGAAAGATGAAGAGGATACCAGACAGCCCAGCTCCTACAGCGACAGGGTTTATGGAGCCAGCACCTCTTCCTAGTGGGGATTCTCCAGTTCCTAATAAAAGCTCTTTTTCCCCTCCGTAGGGGAATAACTAGAGTTCCTTGTCTTCTCCTGGTCTATTCGCACAAAAATCTGGAGAACTTGCTATTTTTGCGAACTTCTGTCGAAGCTGGTTTGACAGCTGTCCAAGGTGGTTCAGGCGTTTGGGCAGAGCAGACAGAGGCACCGTTCCGATGTCATGAGAGTGGGACTAAAAACAGAATGGAACTTGTGTACGCCATGAGACAAATGGGGGAAGAAAGTCTATATTCAGCTAATTTAGATCACAAGTCACCCTGAAAACCATGTCATATGCAAAGGATTCCTACTGTTCTCTGTGACTGATGAAACAAATGAAGTGATTACACTGTCAAAACGCTGTATCTCCGGGCTGCCGCTTGCCCGCTGTTTCACAGACCCGAGACCTGGAACCGAAGTCCCGAGTGCCACCCGAACCCTATCACCACCTCTGACCGCACTGCCACTGCAAGGGTCAGCCTCCATCCATCGTTTCAGCTCTACCACTTGCTAACACTGGAAGAAAAAAAGCTTCCATCTCTGCTGGGCCTTTTTATGTCAAAAAAAAAAAAAGTTCTGTAATGAGCTGTGGAAGGAGACCTGCTGTCAGGCTTGCGTTACCAGCTAGGGACACAGCGTATCTTATACCTCAGTGTACCCACCTAGTGCTTTAAACTAAGTTTGCAGGTTCCTGACAGCCCACTTCTGCAGAATCAGGGAATTTTTCAGCATTTCACACACCCACACGCTCGCAGGATTTTCATTAATGCAATTTATAAAACACATTAGCATACAGAACAGTCATATTCCAGAGTACCAAGAAGCACCTAGCAGAGCCTGGTCTGCAGCAGCAGCCCCTCTGACCGAGCCCTCAGCCCTAAGCTTTCACCACACTAATAACTTAGGACAAGCCTAAACCAGGAGCCTTGATCTGGCACTTTCAAGCCAGCACAGGTTTTACAAGAGTTTAATTGTTTCCCTGTGGTATTAAAATTAAGCACATATAAAGAACGCTTACTCAGATTTTTTTCAAAGCATAACAGGAAAGTAACTCCTTCAAACTCAGGCAATCCCCAAGACTGAAACAAAAACCCCCAAACCGTTATCTCAGACAAACTTTTAATTCATGTAAGTGGCAGGCAGATTTCCAGCAGCTACTGGGACCTGGCCCCCTGCGGAAGCCGCTCTCGTTACCCGCTTCCTGCGAGAGCACCCTTCAGGGACAAGGAGCTTTGCATCCCATAGCTCACTCTGGGTGCGACCACCCCAGAGAAGAGGAGCCCTCAGGAGCGGCCCCAGCCAGGAAAGGAGACAACGTCAATGGTCAGGGAAAAGTGTGTCAGAAAACTTAAGTAGGGACCCAACTGAGCACTTAAAAAAACCCACCTCAGAGTCACCTTTTCTTGCAAACTAGATTAAAAAGTTTAGAACAAGGCTTTTACCCTAATACAGAAGCAGCTTGAGACAACCTGCAGGGTTTTGGTTCAGAAGTTCCGTTATCAAGACAAAACTTCAACTTCATAAAGGCGCACAAATCATTTTGTCACCCCGGCACGCAAGAGCCACTCCAACACACATCTTTTTTGCCACTGTCGCTGCAAACAGGACACGGGAGCGACGCTGAGGGAGCAGCGCGATCCCAGGGGTCACCAGGACGGAGGCAAGCGGGCCCTGTGCGAGGGCTGGCGGTGTGGGCGAGCCTGCCCGCTCCTGCGGCAATTAAGCAAACCAACTTTTCTCTCAAGCGGGCTGAACGAGCGAGCGTCCTCACTGGGACGCGACGCCCAGCCGGCGTGGCTGGCTGCGAGGCCAGGCGCGGG